TAGCATTACAGGGTTAAAATTTTATGAAATATAACGTTTAAAGCTGTTAGATTCCTGCTTTAGAGGAGCTAATTAGAGGCAAGAAACGATATCTGCCAGCCAAATAATTCAAATTGTGACTAAATAATGTGGCCACTTAGCTAAAAACAGGCCTGAAAGGGGCAAAAAGCCATCTAGTTTATCACAGTCTTACAGAGTTTAGATGTTGGCTTTAGCCTTGCATTATACACCATTAAATTCAGATTTTGTTCCCCCTGAATGTTTTCTGATGAGTGTCATCAGTAAACTGTAACTCTGAACGTTATTCTCTCTTTACTGATACAGAAGAACCTCTATAGAGGAGTTTAACTGGTTCCAGGACTGACTTTGTATGTTCAAATATTCGTATGTTGGTTCAAATATTCCCATCAGAACACACTGTAATTTCTATAATTCTTTCCAGAAATCTACAATAACTCCTTAATAAATACTGCAGATAATTACACATAGCAATAAAACAAATTACTTATATAACAGAGATGGAAAAGGAAATAGATTAGTTAGCTTAGTTAAACACAGGCCTCAATCTAGCTGATTAGTAACAGTCAGTCATGGGAAACCTTTGTTTTTATGAAGATTACCCCAAAAGTAACATGATCGTATCTCAACGAGAGCCTTTAACCCTTTAAAGCCTGACCCAAGAATAAAACAAAACAGAAAATATATTTTTTTTTTGTTTGAAGTCCTTATTTGGCCTTTTAACAAAATATGTAAAAAGAAAAAACAGAAATACATTTTTTTATATTAATAATTTATCACTATGCGATAAGTCAAGATTATTTTTTGTGTAGTCTTCTGCCCCCTGTTATCAGGTGTATCTGATTGTGTAAATTAGGATTTTGAGCAAAGTTTTTACCATTAAATTATGCAAAAGGAGTCAGACGCAAACAGAAACAATATGAATCAGATATGATACATTTGGCATTACAGGGTTAAGGGCTGTTTCCCAGGTCTGGGGGGGG